GTCTGGGGTCCGCGCGGCCACGGCAACGCCGCGGCGGGGGAGAAAACACGCGTTTTTCTGGAAACCGGCTCAAAACGAGCGCTTCCTGTGACGTTGCTGCCAGCGGCCGCCCCGTTGTTGGCTCCTGGGGCCCAAGGAGACGCGTCTTCCGCTGCGGCTCTCAGGGTAAATGCGTGTGCTGTAGTCAGTAATGCCGCATTGCCGCGGTCTGTACCAAATTCGGGCTTTTTCTTTATTCCTCCTACTCGACACGAGCCCCGGCCCCAAATTCCGGGGTTCCTCAGTGAACCCCGGCTATATTAATAAACTAGTGACTTGCTTGGCCATGCTCGTGTTTCTCATTCCCTCATGATCCTACATCTCTCTCTGCCGGGCTGTGGCTTGCAGGGTGCTGCTCCCATCGTTATTTTTTAATTTTGCTTTCCGGGGGGTCGTCACCATCAGTGTTTTTCCTGGAGAGCCCAAGGTTGGACGTGGCAGTATCATGAACTGAGTCATATGGGGCCTGGTTGTGACATTGAGTTACTACCTAAACCTGGCCTATTTGAGCAGCTCCTTCACAGCAGTTCCCTGTGAGTTAGAGGGAAAAAAATATTTTTTACAGCCACATCGAGAGGCAGATTTAAAATTCCAGGTCATGCCGTTTTGCAGAACATGGAAGAAGTGGATCTCAGGTCTGCCAGGATGCAAGTAACACTAAAAGATATTCCTTAGGGCAGACATTAGACTATTTATTTCCTGTTGTAATTGGGATTTCCTAATTAATTCTGAAGGTGTTTGTTTGGGACCGAAGTAAATTAAAACATTGTGAAGACAAGGAGGGAATGAAAGTATGAGAGCCCTTTTTGTGACCGCTTAAGTTTTCACTTTTGTGCAGTCTCATTAATTTGCAATGTAAATTAAGTGTGTGTTGAATAGCTATTTTCCTGTAAAATATATTGCTGTTCTGAGTCAAAAGCCTTGGCCTCTTGTCTAACTCACGTGTCCTCAGGAGTTAGGAGCTCTGTTGGCAGGCTGTCGGAGAGCAACGTCTGCTTATTCAGGGTGGAAGGTGCTTTTTCCTGTTGGCTTTTGTCCCCTTCCCAGGCAGCTTAGGGAGTCACATGCGGCAGTACTGCCATCCAACCCGACTCTCCTATGTCCTTGTTACACAGGATGAGGAGCTGGCCCCAGTGAGGATTTCAGGTTGAAAGAAAAAGAGCAAAGTTATATGAAGATGAGGAAAAAGAACTAGCTGAATAATGTGACACAAATTGCTGCCTGTGATATGAGCAGGTAGTGGTGGAGGACACTCAACACCTGCTTATGTAGTAAGCAGGGGCATGAGGTGTTACCTTTTGGGGCAGGTTGGAGCAGAAATCAGGACTTTTCACTTCTGTCCAGAGCGAGAAGAGCTGTACCTGCTGCTAACCAAATTTTGCTGGTTTGGAGAAGTCTTGTAATTTGTTGGAAGAAAGTCATGACCAATAGAAATGCAATAAAATGTCTTCGGATTTAATGGGGCCTTGCTGCTCTTGATATCAGAGTCTGAGGCCAGCTGCACAGAAGTAAAGGAGGTTAGAAAAAATACTTAGGAGGAGGATAAACAAAAAAAGCCATTCTAACACATTTAAAGGAACACTGTGAGGGAAAAAAAAAGAGGTGAAAAGGAAGGTTAAGTGTGGTTACATATGCTAAGTATAAGGATAGTATTTTGTGTAAAAGCCTTTAATCCAGCCTTGAGTCATAGGAAGATGACACTTGAGAGAAGCTCCTGCATGCAAATTGTAGAACTATGTCTTGTGTGTAGAGGAAATGCCCAATATTTTTCTGATTCTTGAAGCCAGACCTGCAGTATGTTTATTTGATTAATCTCTGCAGATTTAGGCTGTACCTCTTACACCTCCACTGCAGACAAGGCTTCCTGCTTGTCCCGTTCGCCTGTTCTCGACAAGTCAGTGCTAGCAGGGACATGTTGCTGTCGTTCTAGTTCCACGATTCGGAACGCAATGAAAGAGCAGACAGGGCCGGAGATGATAATAGTTACAGTATGCAAAGTCATCTATTTCTGTGCCATACTCCTCATGGTTTGGGTTGATATTCCAGGGTAGTACGGAGTTTACATGTGCACGTGGATCTGTGTGAGCCAAGCCTAGTTCTGGACAAGATTAATCGCCTTAAATTAGTACTTAGGTGCTTAAATCAATGCTTCAACTTACTCCATGCTGGCCCATGAAGGTATTTGCTTTACATTTTCAGTATACTCTTCACAATATCCAGTGTATCATCACACACAGTTGCCCAGTCATCCCCTCCATCCTTCCTGCTTCCCTGATTTTCCATTCCCCCAAATAACCATCGGGGCTGTTTGCTAGTCAAGTCAAAGATTCCTTATAGCATAATTTCATAGTGCACCTGTTCTGTTCACATAAGGAACTATTAGTGTCTGGTCTAACAACTGGTGTCAATCCACCAGTATAAATAGCCTTATTTAATGAATTTTTCCATGGCTCTATTCACTTCAGTGTTAAACATCTCATTTTGTTCAGTAAATTACGAGGAGTTACTCTAGGGATCTGCTTCTGCAGTGCAGAAGAAGCCACTATTGGAGAAAGAAGATTTATTGCATCCTATCTCGACTCTTATTCCCCTCCAGTGGCTAAAGTGCAGCAGACAGGTTGCAACATGGGCAAAACGGCCCTAACTACTACACAAGAGGCAGGATGATGCTACAAGAAGCAGCGAAATATCAAAGACTGTCCTTTTCCTGCATTGGTTTCTTTACACACCAAATGCTATATCCATGCTTCTAGGATGTAAATATACCCTCTTGCCTGATAAAGAGCGTTTACTTGTTTGATTAGCACTTTTTAAATAGCTTCTGTGGAAAATTAATACTAGCAGTGTATGTTAGTACACACATTTCTGGAGATCTCTGCAGAATTTCACGGATCTAGTTATGGTATTGATAGCTGCAGTAGCAAGATTCTGTCACAGCTGCCTTTTGAATGCCACAATAGAAATATCTTCCTTATTCGAGAGTATTCCCATTTCAGTAATCAGAAAGGTTAATCATTACAGAAAGTCTGGAGTTGATTTAAACTTGATACACAGAGATAGTACACAGAAGTTGTCCACTATCTTTTGCAGAATTAAGGAAGAGTTCCAGCTGCAAAACAGTAAGTTTTTTCCTGAGAAAATAATAATGAATGTAATAAAAGTTATTTGTTTCAGAGAATGGGATTTATGCAATACGTCTTTATAGATAAAATGATGAAATATCATTTAAAATTAATATATAGAAGCCTATCACATGAAAAAATCAACTGTACAATTCCTACACTGATCCAAAAGTGTTTCCCAATTATATGCAGTATTGTCATATATCTATAAATTATTTTACAGACCTTTGAAAAATATGTCAAAGAAGAAGAAATTTCATTATCTTGAGACTGTTCTGTATGAAATTCAAATAAGGAATTAGGTGGACTAAAGAAGAAAAGAAATACATTTTTCTAACGTCCCTCTTTAAAAACATTAAAATGCATCATTTAATGTTGAAGCCATTCAAGAAAGTAATGACAAAGACTATTAAAACTTGCAAAGGCATAATTTGTTTTTGTAGAGCGTTACCATATTTTTGGCAAGCAGACTTAGATAGCAGGAAGTGCAGTTTTTGTACTTAACCCAGTGCTGCAGTTTTGTGAAGTCATGATAACTTTAGCTTACGTGGCAAAGTAGATCATGTAACGTAGTTTGGAAAGCAAAACAAATCACCAGCATCAATGGAAAGGGCATTGTGGATGTGTGACTCAATTCTTTAACAAAGAATTTCACTGATTAGAAAGCCAGAGTGCCTAATGACTTGCCTTTTCTCATTCGGGCAAAGTGAGTTCATGCAAATTTGCAAAATTACACAACAGTTTGCTTTTTTCAGGTGGATGTACAAGCACATGTATTACCTAGTAACTCATTCAGCTATTCAACCAGTGGAAATAGGGTCCAAGCTCTTGCTGTTTCTCTAAAGTCTTCTGACTTGGGTTAGCTATTCATAGCACGTGGGCTATATGGAAAAAAACAAACCTTGACATACAAGCAACCTGTCTTTTAGTTAAAAATCCTTTAAAACTTTACCAGTAATGTGGAGGCATCCTCTGCATTACAGTGATTTTTTGTGTGCATGTGTGCATGTTTGGGTGCTTTGGTATTTTATTGTTCTGTACTTCAGGTAGAATTGAGGCGAATTCATTATTTACCTATGTTGTTACTTTCTTCCTCTGATCTTTTATCTTACCTTCCTTTTCTTTATATGAAATATTAATTGATGGCACCTATTTCTTATTTTCTTATTTAAAAAGTGTTAGATCGCATTTTAGCAAGGCTATATCTTTCATTTTTTGATCAAAGGCATTTCTGTCTTAGCATTTACCGATCTAATTAAATTACAAAAATGTTAAGTTTTTAATTGATTCTGTCCTACTGAACTCATACATTTGAACAAGCCTGTGTGGATTTACTTAACAGCCCTCTTAAATTCTTTTTTTATTATTCTCTTGTAAAACTATGTGAAAAAAATAGTCCTCTGCAGTGCTTTAGTTCATGATATATTTGTTTCTGTTGGGTGCAGCGCTGTTTAACCCAGAGATGGCATCCACTGTGGGTCTGAAAGAAGCAGCTGGCAGCCGAAGTTCATGGGATGCTTTACTACCAGATTTCCCTAAAGGAGCACTTTGCAGATATCGTAAGAAAGCTTCCTTCAACTGGAAGGAAATGGCAGTGTTTTTAGATGGGGAAGATATCATCCAACTCAAGGTAGGCGTTGCAAAAATTGTAAGCCTATTTTAATTTGGCATAGAACTATGTATATAGAACTACACAATTTTGGATAAAAATGAGTGTGTGTGGTTCAGAGGAAGCAATCTACTTTGCTACCTAGTGGAGCTTATTTCATTGCTTATCATGGGTAGTGGGGAAAACTACATGTGCTACATTACAGAACTTCATTGAAAAGTAGAGTTCTATGGAAAGAACAATATTGTACCATATTTCTATAGGGCTGGCATTAAGTCATACTCTTACAATTCACTTAAGCTGTTCTAAGCTCATTCCCCTTGCAAAAGCAGTATTTCTTTGACCCGTCTTAAGTTCGGCTATCTGTGCTGGCAGCTAGTGCCTTTGTGGCATTTCAGTTGCACAGATTTGCTTGCATGGCTGACAGCTAACCCTGCAGTAAAAGAAAAGGAGAAATTTGAGCGGAAGAGAGTTTGTGGGGATGTATAACCTGGAGGATGCAGGACGAGGTAGAACTGCCCTTTTTGGTGGTGATATAGATGTGCCTGTGTTTAAGCTAATCGTGAAACCTCACTGTAGCTATGAAAATCATAAAAGGTGGATTACAGAAATCAAAACTGCCAGGCACATATAGGAAAATGCCCTGTGTTTGAATGAGCAGATATTACTGTACATAGAGAGGGATGAAATGACCTTAACTTTCCCCCCCAAAAAAAAAAGCACATAGAATCTTGTATTTTCCTTCTCTCATATTGTGACATTTTCTTCCGAGAGAAGAGGACTTGAAAAATCTTTTTTAAAATTTTGCCTAATATACTATATTTTTGTTTTCTTAATTACATGACAAACAATGAAGGAGGCATGGATATCTCCAAGACACAGAGAGTTGATGGAGAAAAGCTGTATCATGTTGTAAGGAAAAAATCCAAAGTAGAATGTTAAAAGATGAACATCCACAAATTGAACATCCACATGCAGCAGTTGGGTTAACTGCAGCACAATTCTAATTTTGTCTGGGAGCAGAGCAGTGATGGTAGCCTAATGCCGTTAGCGTTATAGCATGTTTCTAACTGAATGTAATCCCTGGAGATTTATTTTTGTGCTCAAATTGAGGGCCATTTCTCTTCAGAATCCTGCCAACTGTTTCACAGTGAAATAATGAGACAACTGTAAAAAGTAAGTTGTATCATACTGCTGTCTTATATTCAAAGTGCATCAGTCATACACTACTTCATGACTAACAAGCTTTTGTAAAACTGAGCTGCACGAATTATAATATTTAATGATGAACTGTTTTCATGTATTTTTAAATTTTGGGGAGTTTGGGTTTTGTCTATAAAGTTGCCTATTCTATCAAACTGTTGTAGTTTGAGACCTAGAGTTGTACTAGAAGTCTTTTAACTCGTTTGTTCATGTCCTTCGACAGACTTTCTCATCTCACTTTTTTTTTTCTCCCTGAAGAATAGAATCTTCTCTGCTTTAGAAAATGATCCTTTCTTTGCACATCATCCTGGAGAAGATTTGAGCCGTGAGAAATATCAGGAGCTGACATTCCTGCGCTGTAAAAGGATCTTTGAGTATGAGTTTCTTACTCCACAAGAGATCAAAGAGAACCCTATAAGAATTTTTCATATGACTAGTTTTTTAGGGATGTATGATTGGTCTGCATGTCTCCAGTATTTTTTACATAGCAGTGTAAGTACAGTTCAAAAATGTATACTGATGTCTATTTAAATGTAAAGATCTCATGATACCATAATCCTGTCGCTTTTTGCCTACTTTATTAAAGCAAGATCTTTGCATAGTCTATTTCTTTGTTTTTAAGAATCAAATTGAGCTGACTATTGGAAAAAAAATGGAGAGCTGTGAGATGACATTCGATGCTCTTTGTTAGACAGGACATAATCCTGTCTCCATTGGAATGACTCCTGGCAAGGAAAGCTGAAGCAGTGTTAGCAGAGCCACAGAAAGATATTTTGACCCCTGTAGTAGCATCTACACTTTCTTTTGTCCCCTCCTCTGCATTCTCTTTGTGGCAGTAGCAGCCAAACGAACTCCAACTATATGTATTTCACTTGGTGTTTTTGTCTTTGTTACAACACCAAATATCATTTAAATTTTGCCTCAATACAGGGAGTATTCAGAAGAAACTAAAACCTAGAAAAAGATTCTCATGAAAATCAGTGAGATGCGGTTGTACTTATTAGTTGTCCACAGCCGAGTCTTCCAGCAATAATACTTAACATCAAGTAATAGTTGCTGCTCTCTGCTCTTCAAGCAGCTTTCCTGGTCTTGGTTCATTTACAGTGAGACAAAAACCCTCTTAAAGCTTTTTCTCGGCTCAAATGGCATCCATAAGTTCAAGTGAGAAGTAAGCTTGCAATTTGGAAGGGCTTACAGTGAAGATTTTGAACAGAACTATAAAAAGTTTGATCGTGTCATGGAAGTACCACATTAATGGGCCATTTAATCTTTGGTCTCTTTGATGAGTGTTTTTCCTCCTCTGAGAGCATTCAAACCTCTGTGTAAGGGTTATGACAAGGTGAAATCTTGACTTAGGTCTTCAAGGTATGGTCTAAGTAGTAGTTCACTGTTCAGTCTGTGGTTTCCAACATGTGGTCATGGATTTCATTCATAATTCTCTGTTTTTACAGGTATTTGCAGGTGCAATTTTGAGTGCTTCTGGGACGTTTGCTGACTTTGTGAAAAAAGTTTATAACATGGAGGTAATTTTTTCTGATAACTCAAGAGAATTGGATCTTGTCAGAATTACTTCAGTAGCTGCACTTTTGTGTCATTTCTGATGTCTTTAGGTACCTTGGTACTTAAAAATAGCAAAACAGAAGACGACCAAGGAGCAGATTCAAGTACTGAGCTCACTGCTAATTGTTACACCACTTCCTAGTGCTCTTTTTAAGCTGTCCAAGGCAACATGCAGAAAAAGTTTGGGGATATTCGTTCCAAGTTCATTCTAAGGACTTCTCCCAAAAGCTAGTGTAGATTAGGCTGCCCCAGTTTCGTTTGTATGGTCCTTTAAATAAGCTGGCAGGTTTTGCATTTTTGGATACTCCCACACTTGCAACTGTGCATGATGCTATAAAAATACCATTTTGATGCTATGGACTGAAATGCTATGTGGATCTTATGGCCACAGGGTAGAGTCCAGAGGACAAAGCCCTTGACTTAGTAACTACGGTCAATCTGATCTAGAGACAGCCAATCCTAAATAGTTTCTCTTATCTATGCCATTGGCCATGTGGTCAGAGTTCACTCTTTGGTGTCAACCTCTTTGATATTGTAAGATAGATACATGTTCTGAGGGCTCTCGCGTTCTCCTGCGCTTCCTGCTTGTTTTGGTACTCTTGCTCAATTTTTATGTTCTTGTTGTCAACTTCTTACCGTTGCTTCCTGCTTGTTTTGGTACTTTATGTTCTTGTTGTCAACTTCTTACCGTCCTTTAACTTTCTCCCCTAAATTCTGTGCTTATGTCTCAGCAAAGAGACAGCAATATAGTGATATGTAGCCCTGGACTGGATACCACGTGTTAAAATCAGGATGAATTCTGTTAATGACCCTCAGTGTAGGCAGAAGCTTGGGGGTTATGCGTTTGCAACCTTAACCTTAGGGTTAGCTCTGATTGCTTTCGTAGAACTGCTAGTCACTATCCAACGGCTGGATTGTCAGTCATTTGAAAATCTGCTTTTAACTGCCATGTTAAACTAGACTTGACTTGTACCTTATGTCTCCTTATTTAGATTTTTGGATGTTTTGCTCTTACTGAACTCAGCCATGGGACTAATACAAAAGGCATACGAACTACTGCCACATTTGACAGCAGCACTCAGGTTAGCCCATAATACACAGGAATAATGTTTGCACTGTTAAGCTCTATTATTTATTATCAAGGCAGAATGATTCATGAAGTTCTTAGACTAGTAAGAATTAATGAAGTTTAATTCCAAATAAAAATATATCAATATATTGCAGAGAAGAGTGTATTTGTAAAGTCCTAGTTCAGAAAAAACAAAACAGAGAAGCACATCCCCCTTCACATGCTGTGGTTGCCTCAGTTCAGAGGCAGACCTTTTTTCCTTTCATGTATTTCTAAGAGAAAGAGATTGGTTCCTGCAGAGAGAATCTAGGGGTAAGTTTAGGAATTTCAGCAGTTAAGCATGTTTCTGCACAACTTTCCGGTGTTTTCAAAACAGTAGAAAGTGTTCTGTGGTATTATTTATGACTAATGCAAATCAATGAGTTTAGTACTCACTAATTGATTAACTAATACCTTAAAAAGAAGAAGAAGAGATGAATTCATAGTGATTCCATTTTCAATCAAAAAAAAAAAAAGAGAAGTGGAATGATAAAAGCTCATTGTTTAATGTCCCAAAAAGGCATGCTTATCATCTTACCCCAAAGACTTTAGCCTTTTTGGCAGCCTGAGGTACAGAAGCGAGTGCTGTTATTAGCAACAAATAAGCTGTACATCATTTATTGACTTCAAAAGAATGAAAATCATGAATCATAGATTTTAAACATAAATATTGTGTATCCTTTGGTAGGTCAACATTCCAGTCCGTGTTTTTTGACATACAGGCAATTAAAAGGTCACTAAATCACTATGGATAATCAGATCCCTGTCCTGAAAAAGCCCTTACAAGTCTGACAGCGTACAAAATTCCATTAAAATAAATGAAGGTTTATACTGGTGAAGAGTGCACTGCAGTAAAAGAAACTGAAATGTCTGTATCTTTTATAAGATCGTGAAGCTGTGAGTTTAGATCTCTTTTACATCCATAAAAATATACTACATAGAATTTTAAAATTTGAATTTTGAAGCTGTGTCTAAATGTTAGGCTACATGCATTCTTCAGCACCCCCCCATCAATGGTTCCTCAGTTGTCCAAACTGGGAAGTATGCTGGCTTTCACATGCTCACCTGGGGTTCCTTTCCATAGAAAACTGCCCAAGAAGGAGGTGGTCCCTGTAAAGGTTTCAGCCCAACATGATCTTCTTTAAATTTGCCCTAGATAAATGCATTCTCTCCAAAGTTGAATACAACACAGAGACATCTCATACTGTTGAAGTTAAGAATAGAGTGAGATCTTGGCAATTAATGGCCATTTTCAAAACATCACCATGCTCACGAACATAATTAAAGTAAATGTGTTAAAATTAATGTAAATGCATTTTTTAATGATTTATATAACTTTTTTCACTTATTTTTTGTGGTTACAGGAATTTATCATCAACACTCCTGATTTCGAAGCTGCAAAGTTCTGGGTTGGTAATATGGGGAAAAATGCCACTCATGCAGTTGTGTATGCCCAGCTCTATACTCCTGATGGACAGTGCCATGGATTGCATTCCTTTATTGTACAGGTTGGACAGGAATATTACTAATTTGGGGGGAAGGGAAGCAGGGTTCAAATTCAAGTTTTTGTTATGCTGTTAATTCATGTTTGACCAGCAGATTCTTTGGTTATCAATATTTATTTCAATTGTAACAAGCATATTAGTTTTAAATGTTCACTGTGGGTTTTTTTTGTTTGTTTGTTTTTTCATAATTAATAGCCAGTTTTATAATGCCAGTTTTTTGTAACTGGAAAATGCAAAAGAACTGAAAAGCCTGCAGATTATCACACAGCATATAATGTATCTATATGAAGTCACAAAAGTCTTAGATGGGGCTTAAGGTGAATTATATCTGTCCATCCTGCAAGATTATCTCCATGAAACAAAGTTTCTACCCCTGAGATCCATGTTAAGCTCAAAGGCATTAGAAAACATACCAATGGATTAGGAAAGTTGTGAACAGTTAAATAAACTGGTTGTTGATAGAATAGGATTTATGAATCCTATTTATGAAGTCAGGAAAAAAGCAAAATCGTAAAAGTTCTGTTGATTTCTATAATGTCTGTGTAGATTAGAGAAAGGGTTTAAAGCTAATTTGGTGAGGGAAATAATTTGCTTAGGCATATTTTAACATACTGGTGTAACTTCTGTGAACTTACCTAGGTCTTTTTCATTGTGGGATTTATGTCCTAAGAGTACAAGTATCAGTACAAGGATTATGTGCTTGGAGAAACAGGAGAAACTTTCTTTAGTGCTAATAACATAATATAAATCGGGAGTATTTTCACTATGTGAAAAGTCCAACCAAGAAATGTCTCACAACTGAAACACTCTTCTGTTCCATTTCTATGCAGATTCGAGATACAAAAACTCTCCTACCAATGCCAGGTGTGATGGTAGGTGACATAGGAAAGAAAATTGGGCAGAATGGATTGGATAGTGGGTAAGTCAATCCATTTGAGTAAAGGAACATGCCAGACTGTATGACACAGTAGTGGTGCAGACGTCTTCTTGTGTCATTTCTGTACTTCTGAGGTGTTTACTAGTTGTTTTAATTTGCTGTTATTTCAAAAAAAAAAAAATTCTTGGCACTGCTTCACTATCCAAAAGCAACTAACAGGGAGGAGTTACAGCAATGTGACTACATATCTACATAAAGACAGACATAAATCATATTGCACACAGTACTTGTTTTTTTTGTTTGTTTGTTTTGTAGATATCTGAAAGAATTGGAATTTTGTTTTTTCTCTGCAGCTACACTGTGAACTGCTGGCCACCAGATGGCACCATAGCCTGGGCCTGAATGAACAATATCAGTGTAATTCTGCTTCGTATTAACTAGGAATGAACAAATTCTGCACCTTATTATTAATTTTCAGCGTAGTCTTAAGCACACCATGAAGAAGGAAAACAGCATGCCATATTTGCTGTACAGTTTGTATACTTGTGTTCATCTAAAGCATATCTATATATCCATGTAAGAGTATGGATATAAGATTACTTTGTGCTTTTCACATCTCTAATGTGGACAGGATTTTACAATCCATTTCTCCCTTGCTGATCTAATGAAAAAATATATCATTTCTTAAAATAGGGGTGATGACTCGTAGTGCATCGAGAATGTTAGTTTATTGCAAAAAAGAGATAACAATAACTGTTAAAAGAAATTCTGTATCTTAGTCAAGATATCATAGACATAGATATCTTGTAGACAGAATACATAGACAGAAAGATTAGAATGGTATCATACAATATTCTAATCTTTCTGTTTAGTTTGTGTATGTCTTTTGAAAATCTATTGCCATTATTTCCTGCATAGGTGTTTCTAGGGAGTCCCAGTCATGCATTTAGATCTCTAAGTGTATAGAACATGCCCTGCACTAAAAAGCTTAAATCTAAGTGAGCATGAACAGATTAATACCAGAATCACACAAGCATGCCCCATGATACCAAAAGACATGCTTCATTATGAAAACTGTGGGAGGTTATTGCCAGATCTCCCTCAACTCTTTTCTTTGAAGAGGTTTGAGACTAAGTGCCAACACTGTCCACAAGAGTTAATTTTCCCTTTGCAACCTTCCTGCTCACACTGGTCTGTCAGAAACGTCAGGATTCGTACACGTTTGCTTTTGAGATGTACATGAAGCCGGGGATGGAACTGGAGAGGTAGTTATTTCATAGCCCTGCACTCGTCTGAGGAGCAAACAAGCTGTGCACCCTCTGTTTGACATGGACTGTTGGCTGCGTGATGTCTGAAATGCCAAAATTAACAGGGAGAGGCTTCATCCTGGAACTTCAGAAACTGCCTCATCCAGATGTTGCCTCCTAATTGGGCTAGTAAGTTTATACACCAGCATAGCCTGGAGAAAGCACAGCCTGTAGCTGCTGTGCACCATAGAAGCCTGTTGTGTGGGCATGAGGAAACATCCTGTTATGCTGTGACTGAAAGTGTTAGTTTCTACTGCAAGCTTGGCTAGTTTTCTGAAGGTATGTGGTCTGATTTAACTATTGTGTACATACTTATGTAAATCAAATATACTTCCACAAAGTCACACTTGGGACAAATGGTCAGAATGGATATCACAGGGTAGGGAAGCTGATAGAGATCTTGAGTTTTGTGCTTGAAGAAGCTTTTGCTAAGGCTTTTTCTGTAAAGGGCTACACACAGCTGTACTTAGGGGGTACAAAGGGGTACACACAGGTAAGTTCCTGAACACATTTGTAGAGTAGGGGGGAAAAATTCCAAAGATTCCTAGGAAAATACAACTGATTTGTGCCATGTAAGAGAGCAGAGCAGATGATTGTAGCCCCTCCTTTTTTTAAAAAAAAAACTTATTAATCTTATGGGTTGTTAGACTGAATGGTAGTTTCTTGCTAGTGCAGAATGTAAAGTTTTCTGTAGGAGGAAAAAATATCCAGAAGCAGTGTAAATCCATTTGACTTGTGTGCTCCTTGAAAATCTGTCTTTCCGAATAATTCTTGTAACTTTGTAACTGGGATCTCCTAAAATTACTTGGTTTTTACAAGTCTTCCCAGATTCAACTACCCATTAAAACAAAAAGACAAAGTCACTTGAAATTATTTTAAAACATTTTCTTTTCTCTATACCATTCACACACGTTTTGTATAATAATAAAAGCAAAACTCTTAGACTGGGGCTTAAACTGCTCTTGTGTTTTGTTACCAAAAAGAAAAAAAAAAAAAAAAAAAGCAGACTACCACCAGAGGATGCCAGTGCTTCAGTCTTAAACTTTGTGATATAAAAATGACCACCTGTTGCTAGTGGTTGGGGATTTTTTGAAATGTGCTGTTCCCTGAACTCCAAAAATGGAAGGAGTTGCAGGGGAAAGAAGAACTGCCAAAAAAAAGAATGGTATTTGAGATCTGGAGACTTTTCAGTAATATATACAGCAGATATAAGAGGACAGGGACAAAAGACAAAAGCTTGGAGAGGTGCTGAGGTAAATTTCTCTTTATTCCTTTGAGTTTTAAACAATCACCTGTCTACCCTGGTTGACATAACAACATTAGCAAAATAACCTATTTCTGCAATGTGCATCAGGAAGTGCTTGCCCCTGAATCAGTAGTGACTCCAGTTCATGCCTGGTTGGAACTAGTGGCAAACCGTTGCTTTCTGCACTCCAGAAATAGAAAGAAGATAGAGAAATGAGATATCCACCTGAGTCTTTGCAGAAAAGAGTTTGAAGAGTAGGAAAATAGTGTTTCCGAAGTGGTGTTTAACATGCCTGCCTTTGCAAAACGTACTCTGCGCTGGTCAGATGCATCTGCTGATAATGGTGATTTTCTTGTATAGATGAAACTATCATGAAACTAGTGAAATTTTGTCATCACTGACAAAAATAAGGCTGATAATTTTAGCTGTCTTGTTTGTGGGAGAGAAAAGGGTCTTTCTGCATGGGGAAGGACTGTATTTAATTACAGTAATGGACTTTGGAAAACTGAAGCTTTTTCATAACTGTTTAAGGACCTTTCATATTCACTTAACATGTGTGATCTCTCCATACATATGACATGTGCTAAGACATTCAGTACTTTCTCTAGTAAAATAACTGAAGCCAGATTCAGTATTCTAGATACTGAAAACAAAACAAAATAACCAAGAGGAAATGGGTAGAGGAGGGTATGCAGGACAGCAAAGCTGTAAGTGGTGGTGGAAAGATTGCAGGGTGTGAAAGTCCTCAGCACAATTCCATGCATATTTGCAAAAATAGTATATATCGCCAATTCTCTGTAGATTATTTTAAGGTATTATTCGGTGTTTGGTTGTTAATATTTCAGTATGCCAGAGTGTCCATAATAAATTAGGACTCTGCTAATCAGTTTAAGTGTAGAACAAATTAGACTCTAGTCCTTTGAAAGGGTTTTGTCTCCCACTTTATTTATACTCTTAACTCTTACGTAGATTTTCCAGTGGCTCAAGTTATTTCCCTGGGAAGACTGGAGCTCAGATAGATTGTCTTGGAGCACAATTTTACAGCAAAGATCAAATCCCATGCGCAGTTGCATAGTTGGTTGTTTTTACATACTGTCTTTTTCCGTGTGCTGGGACAAACATTTGTGTAGCTGTGTAGTGGGCTGCACTGGGGAACTAGAACTGTCTGAAAACTAAGCAAAAAAAAAAAAAAAATTAAAACCAAAACCCATAAAACTTGGCTGTTTTCAGCCAGATCATTTATCAAGTATGGTTCACTGCAAGGCCATGGAAAAGGCTGTGCCAGGTCAGAGAAAGACACAGTACAGGGATGGAAATAAGAAAACAAGTGTAGAAATCAGTCTTGCTTCTCAAATGAACAGGTTTGTACTTGCTCAAGAATTCTTTAAACTGCAGCCTCTGACCATAGTTAAACACAATTGCATAAAGAGCAATGGTCATGAAGCAAGCATAAAATAAAGAGATGTTCAAATACTCTTGCCAGAACATACATATATCTATTGCTATCAGTCCACGTAAATAGTGTTGCTTGCATGGTTAAGCCAAATATTTTGCAAGACATATCCTGTTTATTTGCAATTTATATCTAAGTGGTGATTTTGCGGGGAATCGTTGGTGTTTTTGCTGTTACGCCTTCCAACACTTGGCTGTTATTGCCAAGGTGAAACACTGCACAAATACACCCCTCTGTGCATATGACCAGGCACAACCGCATTGCCAAAGAGCACTGCCTCACTCCTGTATCATTTGTGTCACAAGTTATTCTAAACTGGCCAGATCATTGCAGTGCTGTTCACGCTGACCAGCGCTAATGGGGAGAAGAAAGGTGAATTCATATGTGGTCATGCACTGGTTTTATTGCTCACAGAAATAAGGCCTCACATTTGCAATGAGCTTCAAACATCCTTTTCCTTCGCAGAGCTCTGTCAGCTCTGAACAGTTGCAGGCACTGGCACAGCCAGAAACCATCGCATGACTGGCATGTAGGTTTTAAGAATTTAGGGGGAGAGGGTCTTTGCGTTCCCATGAAGTCCATTAAGATAGAATTAGGAGACCCGTAAAGCAGGTCGTGGTTTTGTCGCAGCTTTTGAACATTGCTGTTACAGAGCAAAATTCTTTAGTGCCTTTCCCACAAAAACTAGGTCTAAATTACTGCCTTACGTAGTTTTTTTTTTTTAACTAGCTGCTCAGTAGCTCTTCTCAACTCTTAACTTTTCTGTGAGTTTTCAATCTGGAACATGTGGCTATTTTCCTCTACAATATTTTCAGCAAACTTCTTAAGCATTATTCTTCCCGAGGTCTACTGCATCCCATAAAGAGCCATGAGATCACTTGATTCCCAGTCTTCCAATAGCATTCACCTGCTTTCTCTTTCTGGCTAGAAGGATTAAAGGAACTGTCACTGCACCATCTCTAACATAGTCAATAACAGAAGCTGGCAGGAAAGGCATTTTAGTGGGTTTGCAGTTCACCAAAGCATGCTTCAGCTCTTGGTACCATAGGTAACAGCCTATTAATTTAGTATTGGCAAAAGGAGCTTGTAGCTTTTCCAGCTGCTCTTTTTTTTTATCAACATTACTGCACAGCAGATGAATTATTATTGCGTGATTTAAAGTCAATAAGATTAACTTTACTTGAAATGTTCCCTAAACTGCTGGCCAAAGAACCCTAACAAGAATGCTGCTTTTAGAACACGACTTCGCTCTGCTCACCTAATCTCAGTAGAAATGTGTCTAACACATTTTGTTTTTAACCTATTTGCTAGATGATAGATATTTTGTACATTATATGTAAGATATAATGTACTAGGCATTAATAAAAGTAGAGTATCATGTACTTGTTGCCAGGATATTGGGGTTATTCTGTGTGACTTTGTCCACCATGAGATAGGGCTGTACATGTATTCATGTATCCACGCACACTAACTGATGAAGGGTTGTAAGTGACAGAAATTTAAAAAGCAGAGGGTTCATATTTACAGAAAGAGAAAACATTGTGGAACCACAGCCAAAAAGGAGGCATGTTGTTTTCTTGTCCATTTTTAACTATGATTTTTACCAAAGCCAGCAGTTAAGTGCTAGGTCTCTTGACCAAGTACAATTTGCAGATCAAGACAGAATGATTTGGGGCAGTTTGCTTTACAAATCCAACCATGGAGTACCTACCATTTCCTACAGATTCTCGGATTAGATGGTCTGGTAGTTTCTTCTGACCTTGAAATTTATGGTCCTATGAATTTATCATGACCAAAATCACACAGCTGGAGGCCAACACAGTAGAATCATGTGGTATATAGTTAAAGTGACAGCTCTTTATCCAAATGCAGAAAGATTTTTATCTCGGTCACACTAATTGCTATGTAGAAGAGGCAGTGGAGTTTTCAGACCCATGGTCATGTCATCACCACATGCAATTTAGCTATTTTCCAGACTTGCTGGTACATGATATCCCCATGACAGTCTGCACAGTTTCATTATTGTGAGATATTTCTACTTTTCTTCATTTCTTTAAGGGCATTTTCTACTAAATGCGCTGACAGATGTGGTCCATGTCTACTTGTTATGTTTTCTAGGTTAATAAACTTTAGAAACGTGATATTTGACTTCATTAAACCTTATTATTTATTTTTAATATGTTCCGATATCAAGTTCAATTGGCTAGTATGTCTAATGATTACAAAGTAAGATTTCAAATAGCATAAAAGTTCTTGGAGTAAAAACCTGACAGGAGTTGGCAGTCATATCACAGTCATCTAAATCCCAGTTCTGAAAGTTTCTGCTTTTATTTTCATCTAGTGCTTATAGACAATATATCTTATTTCTTTTCTCTTGAGAATACTTTGAGGGATTTGTAACTGCTAATTCTGTCTCACTTTTTTGCTTCTTAGTTTGTACCATTTTCATATGACTTTATTTTGAGGGCACCTCACAGAAAAAGGGAGAAATTATGCATCTGTAGTGGACAACATGATAGAAAAAAATCTAAACTCCCCAAAACTGTCTCAGTGTACTTTATTTAAACTAATTTTTGTTTGGCAGATACCTACAGCATATCTAATATTAGTAGATTTTAATATTCTAAATGTAAAACACAAAAAGGACGATTTGCAGTCATCTTCATTGTCATGGTTACAATATGTCCTCTTCTGCTTGGGAGGGATGCTTTACAAACATCTGTGAAACTGCCTTATTTTCATCCCTCAAATGCCTTAAAATTCTTGTTTGTCCCAATGACTTACAAGAAATAGGCCGTGGTTAGCTTTCAACATGCTCTAACTGGCAGTTACCATCTCAAGCAAGCAGTCATCTATAGTTAGCATCTGCCTCACCACTTGTGTGACCATATTCGTATCTGCTTGCCTTATTCTATGTAACATGAACACTGTTGCTTAAAATTTTGGTGTTGATGTGTATTTTTAGTTGTGATGGGTTTTATTTGAGATCTAGGGAGCAAGGAAAGTGCATTTAACCAGAAGATCTTTATTGAGGTTTTTGTTGTTGTTGTTTTTTAATTGTAGATAATCTGAAAAAAATATTAAGAAGGATGGTTGTCAGATTTTTGGAAAATCTGGATTTGCTTCTGCCACCAAGCAGTGTTGCCTCACTGATACTGCTCTCAGTAAAGCACTTCTTAGCATGAATAAGGCTAGGAGGCAGCTGGTTTCTGGTTGGGATAGCATGCTTCTCTCTGTGGCTAAGGCTGAAAACACTCTGTATCTCTAAGGCTGAATAAAGTCAGTATGCAGATATGTTTCCTTGGAAACAACTTGTAATTTTAAAGCACATGTAGCAATGCAACCCTTATGTAATTTATTAATGTGAAAGACCTGGCTCTCATGAGCATTATTAAATAGATCAGCCAGTATTGGCAGACAAAAGGAATTTGCTTTGATTACAAATGCAGCTTTCAAAAGCTATTAGATACTGAGATATTCATGAGCAGAGCTGATATTACTGGTATTGTGCCAAGTTGTATTGCCCAATTGGGTGAAACAGTTTATACACTTTCTTCCTGACTAGTGTGAATACTCAAGACATTTTTTCCTATTATAATAGGTTCCTTCTTTATTACTGCTAGCATGCCACAATTTAGAAAAAATCGTGTGTCATTCCTTTTTAACATAGTACATTATAGAGAACAGAAGTCCTAGTTTGAGTTTAAGCAAAGGAGAATACTCCTTTCAGTTCCCTGTTAGTGTGCTAATCTAGCTGTGTTCCTTTCTGTATTATGCCAAAATGAAATAGCCTCACAGATCTATATTTTAGAATTATAAAAAATGCATAATATCTGGTCTCAAAGCATTTACAGTCTCCAGACTGGCCTGAGCAAGGCTCCGGGGTAGTGAATAATTTGTAATCACAATAGTCCATCAGGAAAAGGAAGTTTTAGTAGTTCTTCTTTCCAAACTTTTAGATAACTGAACCATCAAGTAAAAAACCTACCTCATACAAACCGAGCATTCAGTTGACATTTCTGAGCTGTAGGTGAGTGTTTGAGTCTATTTGATTTTATCATGTGTCCAGAAGGTAATTTTACCCAGAAAACTGTCCTTCCCCTCAAAGAGAATACATTGATCTTCCTTTCATGAATATTTTATTTCTTTACAGATAAAGCTTTGGAAATGGCCCCCTAGAGTTAATAAGGACTTTGTGGTGATTTTTAATCACCATACTTATTTTTGAGCAAGAAACTGAAGTTAAAAGTGATAGGAAAATATTTTCCTGCTTGTATTTCGGCTACTGGTCTGTGTCCGAAGGTTTTATTCTCCCACACATGCTCTCTTCAAATTACCTATGTGGTTTAGGGGTGCTATTTTCAGTTCGCTGATAAATCTGACTCCGTGTGCAATTTTTTTTGTTTGTTTGATTTTTTTTCTGTAATATAGACACTAAAAACTGTCAAGATAAACTTTACATTGCTTGTGTATTTGTTTGAACAGATTTGCTGTGTTCCATTGTGTCAGGATACCTAAAGAAAACATACTGAATGTAGCTGGAGATGTCACACCTGAAGGGAAATACTCGAGCTCTTACAAAGTAGGAATTAAGATTTGTATTTCTTTAATATAGTTTACTAAGTATAGAAAGATACAAGTAGATTACAGAGATAGGGCATGGGCCTTGTGGGTTGGGAAGTGCTAGGGGTCTTGACTTAAATATAGCTATTGACATTAGACGATGACATACTATAGATATTATACTATAGATAATAATATGTACGTCATGCCTATATGAGTATTCAAAGCTATCCTTTCCTGTTTTCCCTGCTTACTACAGAGAGTCTACAGTTACTAGCTCAGTCGCAAATATCTGTCTTTTAAATAGCATCAGGATCTTCACAGAAATTCTGTAAGCTCTTGAGGAGGCAACTGTTTACTCACAGTGTTTTCCCTTTTGTTTGAATGGTTCCATAATCAAAAATGCCAGGTTTTTAATTGCCTTTTAGAGATGTCACAACTCGCCTTATTGATTTTGCTTATTTCTTGCTTTTCAAACTGCCCCACTGGTGCAGAGTAGTTTCTCTGGATCCTGCCTGGATACCTTAACTGAATATCTAAAGAAATAAAATTAGCCAAGCCTCCAGACTTTTGTGATCACGCTACCAGAGTTGCATCTTTACAGGATAGGTAAATGAAACGTTAACCTCACCATTCGCTCTGTGCCTTTTCCTCCCTCAGGATGTGAAAGATCGTTTTAGTGCTTCACTTGGGTCCTTGTCCCCTGGCAGAGTTCAGATTACAGCAATGTCCGTGACCAATTTGAAGCTCGCCTTAACTATCGCCATTCGCTTCTCAGCAACTCGCCATCAGTTTGGGCCAGCTGATGGTGAAGAAATACCTGTTCTGGAATACCAAATGCAGGTAAAAAGTTGGGAATTCCAATCTACAGACTGTTGTATATAACTAAAACAAAGTAAGATTCAAAGCTATTTTAGAAAAAGTGATGTCACTGAAGTTAGTACAGAAGTACATCTGAAGTGCAGATCCTGTGCAGCTGCAGCTGTTCATTCTAACTCCAGGCCTCCTTGCTGCTGCTCCTGGCATGATCTGGCTTTTGAGATAATTTCTTGGAATAGCAAAATCCAAAACACTCTTATTACTCTGAAGTGCCTAGAAATGTTTGTCTTTTAAAGCAATAACCTTTTCAGAGAAAAATTGTCTTTTATGTGCACATGAAGTTACTGCAGATACAGAACTAGCATTTTTTAAAAAGATGTCAGTGCTTCTTTTGCTTCTATGCTCATTTTCCCCTTTTTAGTCTTTATTCTTTTAAAATGTGGAAATTGAAGTGTACTGTGGGAATGTTCCAAATTAACATTAAATTTGTGATAAATTATTTTTATTCATAGATTAAGAGATGAGAAACACCAAAGGGGCTTCTGGTTTGAAAAAGCAGAAAAAGAGTATATATGATAAAGTTTGAAAATACAGAAGCCTCAGATGTGCTGAATGAAATGGTTAATATATATGAAGTGTTGGAAATAAACGTGCGCAGTTTGTGCAAAATGGGTGTTTTTTCATGGCTTGCCCTTAGGCCTGCAACTTCAACTTTCAAAGATTTCATGGGTTTCAACAATCTCTAGGAAAAGCTGTCTTTTTTCCACCTCTTCTGCAGTTAGCCTGGGTTTACTTCCCACTGTTTTTAGGAATCTTTTGGTTTCTGCCTGCTCTGTAGCCCTTTCTTGCTGAACCTCTCATTCCCTACTCGCTCTACAACAAAAGCTTCCTCTTGGGCAGTTTCCCTTTTCTTTCATGGGCTTCTACCTGACCTATTTGGAGCAACAAAGATGCTTTTTTTTTCTGTACTCCACAGCCCTGTTCTTTTAACAGAATGCAGCAAAGTGATGTACATAAAGCAGAGAAAAGAACAAGTGAAAGTTACACCCACTGTCCTATTGGTACAAAAGTAACATATGAGTCAAGATTGACTCGTTGCATGCCAGGCATTATAGAAACACAGACTGCTCTCTTCTGCTCTCTGCCCAAAAAGCTTCAGTGAACATTTGCACTGGTTTAAAAGGACATTTACCACAAATTCACAAAATCTATGAACTGGAATAATGTAACTATAACTGACTTATAAAGTGGTTATACCTAAGAATAATTCTTTACAAACATAATTAAGTTAGCATCGTGATAAACTAGAGATTCTCTATTTGGACAAATTAGAAGGGAATGAGTTGGTTCAAAATTATAAGATAGTTATTGGAAAAAAAAATGTTTTCTGGAAATTTAAAGTTATTTATAATCTCGCATATAAGATTATATATCAATTTGCAAACAAAACTTCTTATTTTTAATTCCAGCAATGGCGCCTTCTTCCTTATCTGGCTGCTGTATATGCATTAGATTATTTCTCCAGATCCCTATTTGAGAACTTTATAGTATTTTATATAGGCTTATTGACAAAGGAAAGGAGTCAGAGACAGGTGAGATTTTTACACATTTCTTACTAACTGAGCTCTTATTACAATAAACTTGAAATAAACATGAAATTGTTGAATTGTACAGCAGTGTCACAGAAATGTGGGAAAAAACAACAAATGAATAAAGTGTGTGCTCGAAAGGTACCCAAATTAATTTTGATGTTACGTATGTTCCTCTTTTTACTAAAGAGTGCACAATGCTGTGCATTTAATTTGTATAAATCATCAGTACAGAGTAGTGCTTTGTGTAAAGCAGAAATATTCTTCTTTGCACGCTCACAAACTTACTTTATGTAAAACTTAGTGGTGACTAGAAGCTTGTTTTCCACAAAGGCTGATTTGGGACGTGAGATTCACGCCTTATCTGCTGCCAGCAAGCCGCTGTCTTCTTGGACTGCTCAGCAGGCGTCCCAGGAGTGCCGAGAAGCTTGTGGAGGACACGGCTACCTTGCCAGTAAGCTGCAGACTCACTTTATAAACTGCTCAAAAAGAGAATGTTTATATTCTTGTCTACCTCAACTTTTTTTTTGGCGGGGGGGAGGCACAGCATCTAGATTTTAGGGGTACTTTTAGAAAGGATTTTTTCTGCATCTCCTTTTTATGCAGATTTATTTTATACTTGTCACCACAAAAGGAACTAAACCCATGCAGTATCTGCACCAGCATTTGGGCAGAAAAAGACTGTATGCGTGATTCAGTTTCAGTTCCAGAAATAAAAATGCAGATTTTTTCGGTGAAATTTGCCCTTCTGAAAGAGATCCACACTTTTATGAAATCTTCCCACTATATTCATTTTATCAAGTCAAATCATGAATTTACAAGCTTATCTTTTGGTAAGAATAGATGCCTTACTTAGATCTCTTACATTATTATCATAGTATAATAATTACCTTACCGTTCATTAATACATTGAAATATATTAAAATGTGCTTGTTCTTTTTAAGTGAATCGTCTGGGCGAAATTCGTAATGACAATGACCCAAACTGCACGTACGAAGGTGATAACAACGTCCTACTTCAGCAAACAAGCAACTACTTAATGAGCTGGATGAGTTGCATAAGAGGTCAGTTCTCATTCTGGAATCCTTTGCTGAACCCAACAGTGACTAGATAATGGAATTAGGAGGTAAAACAACTGATAGTCATTTAATCATTTTGTAGAGCATAAATAATGTGCTACAGAATCCATCACATGATACATTCACGAATACACAAATACTTGCTGCAAGAAATGTTCTTTCTCCAAGATCCCGTGGAAGCTAACTAGATGTTCTGCCATCCTTACTGGCGTTAATTATATCCTCAGAGAAGTGCCATTTAATCCAGTGGAGCTACTCCTAAAATCGTATTGAGTCTGGGTACCTTGTTCATTATGCTTCAGACCGTTCATATTGCCTAATTTAGTAGTAATTTCCATGTTTACATTTTGTCATTCTCTAGATAAATGATTGTGTGTAACATTTGTAGCAGTGATTTTCGCCAACATCCAGGACACTGCAACAGGAGTTGAATCTTGTGGTGCTTGTAGACAGTGATGTCAAGTTTTTCAGCACTTGTCCATTTTGTCCTCACTTGCTTGAGTAGGAGACAACAAACAAATAATTTGACCTATCAGAATCTGGCCTATCAAGTGCATGTCTGGGTTTGTAATAAATTTTTATTTCCAAATATTCTTATTTCTTTTCTCATCAAGCTTTTTTTTTTTCTTTTTTTAGAGAAAGTTCCTTTCGAGTCCCCTTTTGGAACAATAAACTTTTTGCAGAACTACCACCACATCCTTGGCCAGAAATTCACAGCCGTTAGTGTTGAAGATTGCATGGACTCTTCAGGTACACTTTTGCTAATGTAGAACTGCTTCAAAAAACTTAAATTCCTGCCTGATACAGAGATTTAAGATTCATCCTGAACTACTTAATGGAGGCAAAACTAATGAAGTGAAGAGATAACAAAATAGAGACAGGGAACTGAGCAACAGTAAGTCTGTAAAACTGAAAGCATACCAGGAGAAGAAACGCTGCTTTAGTATATAGGGATGTATATGTAAGCTCTAAGTGTATAAGAACTTAGTATATAAGAGGTAATTGGGTTGCTTCCTGGAATTCAGTAACCACATTCATGCTCAAATATTTGCAAAAAAAAAAGCTGAACTTTGAGTAATGATCAGTCCTAAGTGAGATACAAGGTGAGGTAGTATGGTACATTACCATAATAGCTATGGGGGAAAATCTGAATAACTTTGCATACCCAAGTAAGAAAAATGCTAGTTCAAAATGACGGCATACTTTCTTCTTTGTTTTAAGTCTCCTGCTAGTGAAATCTATCAGACCACAAATAGCTAAACATGCTTTTTGTCCTCTTTTGTAAATCCTACTGAACCAGATCATAGTAGTAAAATATATGAATCTCTTTATTGCAGTGGTCTGTTAAAAGCTGAGCTCTTAAACTAGGTGCCTATACTCAGGCAGCATGTGAACACTCAGAATTGCATAAATAATATCCCTACATTAAATCTTAAGCTAAGGCACAGACAAGCAGGATTTTTACAAGATCTTTTAAGCTGTAGCACTTTTTCCCTTAGTAGTTCCAGACTGCTCTAAAAATATAACACACTTACAAAAAGCAGTAAATTCACCTGCAGTTACATTCATCCACCTTTGCTGTATTAGAAATCATCTGCTTGGCAGCATGTAGCATCATTTCAGAGTTGAGAAACTCTGAAAGAGTTGATGAGTCCCCAGATGTTGACTGTCTTCTGGTTTTGTTTTATTCTCAAAAGAGCCTCCAAACTTTGTATACTTAGGCCTTAAAATAGGAAAGAAAATACTATAGAAAATTTTGAAGGTAATTGGAAAATATTTGGGTATAAACTGGGCTGTGGATACCTGCTGTTGTAGTTTGGGGTCATTTGGAACTAGTGTATGGTCAGAAGGATGTGTCTTCACTGAAAGTTGCAATCTCACTATGCCTAACTGTTATTTACATGCAACTACATGCAAAGTTCCAGTGTTTTGGGTTACAACGGCTGCTTCGGATATCCACAGTTCTTTAAAGCATGTTTAGACCTAGGGATATTCATATATTGCAAGAAGGAATTCATATATTGCAAGAAGGATTTAAATTCCTCCTATTTGGGTGGGGTGGTACTGGTTCAAGGTGAAAACTGTCTTCTGCATGGCTATCACTCTGCTTTCTGTGACCAGGAAAGTCACAGAATGTTGAGGATTTTGGGTTTTTTTCCTACAGTTCCCTTAGCAGCATATAGATGGCTGGTTTGCTACCTGCTCCGAGAAAGCGATCTAAAGCTGAACAAGGAGAAGCAGGCTGGGCAAAGTGATTTTGAGGCAAGAAACAACTGTCAGGTAACACTTGTTCAGCTTTTTCATTTTATTTATGTGTGCTTTCATCCAAGTTTGCCAGATCCTGTTTGTTTTATCCCATTATGTCATGAAATATAATTTCCTCAAGCATAAAGCAGCAAATCATATAACTAATAAAATGTAATTCCTGTCCATGTGCATTGTATTAATCATGTGAGAAGGAGGACAGTTATGATCAACAGAGCTCTTCCAGGATAGTTCCCTTCAGAGAAGTGCAGGCATGTGCTGGGTGGTGTGTGGAAGCTTGAAATCACAACTTTTGAAGACTATATGTACTACTATTAAATCTACTGCAGCATCTGATTATTACATCTCCATCTGCTCTTGTGGCCAAATACATACTGTAGGAAAGAATCTCGCTCTGGCAGGTAGGTAAACTCGATGACCTAATAGGTCTTTTCCATCACAATTTCTATAGTGCAAAGTACTCATGAAAGATACCAGACTGACAGCACTGGAACCTGAAAAGGAAACACTGACAATCTACAAATAACAGATTCACCAGTGAGCTTTAGCAACTACAAATGGCATAACTCCAAATTTCAGTTTGTATCTCCAAGCTCCCTAAACACTTCTATTACCTCCATGAGAAATGCTGGCTAGCATCCAAGAAAAGAACACTTGGCATTTGTCACTGAGGGGAGAGATCTGTTCCCTGAAGATGACCAATGTGGTCGATCCTATCTGCAAAACTCATTTAAAAACTGCAGGAAGGAGTATTGAACTCTGCACCAAGAAGGAGCCAGCCTGGCTTCAGGAGAGTATGGTCTGTGTAAAACCTCCAAGGAACCCTTTCTGGTGTTTGCCATAGAAGCAGCAGTAGAGACAGTCTTCTGTTCAAATTCAGGACAAAAATTGCCCTCTGGTTGCATGCAACATAAAAAGTACAAGAAATTTGAGCCTCATTGTCTGCCCACTGCTCAGCTCTTGGGAGTCTCATTCTAGGGCCAGCGTGTTAGAGAAGGTGATTTACTGAGGACTCACCTTGCTCCTCTGTTCAGGTGTGCTAAATTTAAAAGTTATTTAAGCACACAATTCCCATGGAGATAGCACTGAAATACCTTAGGTCATTAGGTTTTCTTTCCTCCCTTCAATTTGAATTCAGAGAAGGGAGATTTTTTGCTATAAATGTCTCAAAAACATGTGAAAATGATTTGTAAGCAGTAGCTTAATAGTTTACACATATTTGGTATGAAATCTCTGGGGGCGAAGAAGCACTTTCTTCTTTCAAAGCACTTGGTTCTTTCAAAACACGTTGCAAGCCATTGTATTGAATCCAGTCATGCTTACATGGTCAGATTTATTTTTTTTATTAATAGAATGGACTGCGATGAGTTCAGTAGGTTACTGAAACTCTTTAAAAATTTATTCCCTTTATAAAATTCTGTATAATATTAACTAAAATCTGAACCTACTTTTGTCATCTTATAGTTGTATGGTTTTACACTCATCCTACACTCATCAGACCATTTTTGCATGGACCCCTCTCTTATGTAGCTACGTGATCCCAGAGTCTGGCTGCAAGGTGTTGCCAAATTACACTGCTTATATTTTAAATCTGCCCTGTCTTAGGACAGGCGTGACTACCAAACTGAAACCCACGGGGAACCCAGGGGATTTTATTTCTACTTGGATGAAGCATTTTCCAAGTAAACTTTGCAAAGACCTTTTAGGAAGTTTTCTCTTAGTGTTTCATGTCAGGTTTTCCTTAAATCTTAAGCTATGTTATCACCAGATCTAAATGAACAAATCCCCACTGGCTTCACCAGAGCAATTCCATTTTGAGCTTGGTATTCACCTCTTGTATGTCGTTACTCAGTATCCTCCTTCTCTGTGTCCTAAGGTGTACTACTGTCGCTCATTAGCGATTGCTTTTATTGAGCAAACAGTCTTGCAAAGATACCATGACTACACCCATGATCCCAGCGTGCCATCTACTCTGCAGCCTGTGCTCAAGAATCTCAGTGCTCTGTATGGCCTCTGGTCTATAAGTAAGCATCTGGCTGTGCTCTACCAAGGTGAGATCAACTCCCTGCATACATTGTGCAAGTAATTTTATAAAACTCTTAATTTTAAAATTAGTTTTTTTTTCTTTTTTCCCCCAAGTATTGCCTCTTGGCAGGAGGAGAGAATCTTAACTAGGATTTACACTAGAGCATTTTTCTTACCACCTGTATAATGTAAAAAAGTCATTCTGGGCAGAATTTTCAGGATGAGGGATTTGGAAGTATAAAGCTATAAATTAACCCAAAATATTCACTCCTAGCTCAGAGAAGATGGAATGCTCACAAGCTTTGGTATGGTCCCGTACTTGCAGGAAACAACAGGGAATAAACAGGCAGATGCTGTAATGTAGTTTGTTCATGCAAAGGATTCTAAATGTCTTAGATTTAGAGTCAGCTCATTAATGAAAGAGAATCAAATTGCACAAGAACATTTAGTCATTTGAGTACTGAACTGATAAATTCCTTTGTAACAGTGTAACATCAGCTTGTTTATTTGTTTCCCCTTTTTTTGTAAATATATTTGCAGGTGGCTATGTTTCAGGTGAACAAGCTGGAAGGTTTATTCAGAATGCTATTTTGGAACTTTGCCACAGGGTAAGCCATGAATATTGTTTGTTGGGGTAGGATAATAATATCTTAATATTAGAAAAAAGAAACATGTTAGTTATAGTGTTCTTCAAGGGATTATGAGGAGGTTATATTAATTGTTTCTAAATAATATTAAGGTTAATAACCCATTAACCCTGAATCTAGTCCTTTTTTTTTAATCAAACATTGAGAAAACATATGCCTTATAAAATGATGCTATTTCATTTGTGGCCTTGCAATTTTTGTTGGAAAGCTAGCCAAATACTTGAGATCACTAATGCAGTTCTGCTTATTTAATTATGTTATTAGTTCATGATTTCTTTTTTCTGAACACAAAAGCTTTTCATATTGGATCATATTTTGCACAGGTAAGATAAATTTTCAAAGAGGTTATGTTTTTAGAGTTCTTACATTTGTTTTAATGTCATAAACAGTGCCAACTTAGTTAAAATGTGTCTTCAAACACATTGTGTGGGTAATGAAGGAAAGCATTTAAAATGCAATTTCTTTTTGGTAATTATCTTGGGAGAAAAAGAAAGCAAAATAAAGCTGGTTTCCTTGCAGAGGTTTTCTTTTAAGTTACCACTGGCTAGTAGTTTATGGAAGTAATTTAATGCTGCTCTGGAGTACACAGATAGCCATAGATACCTACAAAAGTTGGCAAATATATGTCTTTTTTTTAACAGTTGAAAAATGATGCCGTTGCTTTGGTTGATGTCTTTGCTCCTCCTGACTTTATTCTCAACTCTCCCATTGGCAAAGCTAACGGAGAGGTAATAAAACCTATTTTAATATTTATAAATCTAATCATCTTGAAAAAGACTGTTTTTGTAAATGGGCATAACATATTCAAGACAATTTATAGATAGGAGAGAAAGTACCTGTTTAGCCTGGAGAAATGATGACTGAGAGGGGATCTTATCACTGCATACAAGTTTCTGAAGGGAAGGTGGGACCAAAGTCTCCTGAGTGGTGCCCGGTGACAGGACAAGAGACAATGGACACAAACTGAAACACAGGAATTTCCATCCGAATATGCAGAAAAAACTTATTTACAGTGACAGTGACAGGGCACTGGAACAAGTTCCCCAGAGAGGTTGTGGAGTCTCCTCCTCTGCAGATCCTCAAAACCTACCTGGTCCTGTGCAACATGTTCTAGATGTCCCTGACTGAGTGGGAGGGTTGGACTAGAAGACGTGGGGTTCCTCCCAGCCTCAACCATTCTGTGATTCAGTGATTCTGTTCTGAAAAAAATTAGTATTAGCCCTTCATCTAACAATCTTTAAGTATTTAAAAATCTTGTTAGTCAAAGCTCCTAGAAAGCCTTTGATATAAGCACATGTCATGATACATGTTTCACAGCCGAGGAAGCATAAGCCCTCACCTTAGGATTGCTAGGACTGTAAAATGTATGCATCGATTATCACAAATGAAGCAATGAAAAATGCTTTAGGAAACACTGATTTTGTGTACTTCATTAGTGACAGATTCACAGAAGTCAGCATCTTTTTCTTACTCTTGCACCTCTACTCTGTTTTGATTCTTGTCATGAAATATCTTCTTACTCTAACTGAATCAAGCAGTGTAGATTAGTTTGGGTCTATTACTAACTAGTGCAACAGCATTATTCTGTAGATGCTAATTTAATCCTAGTCTTACTCTAGGAACATCTCTGCTAAGCAAAAAATGCAGAGTCACCTACCTCCCCTTTCAAGTGTCATTTCACGCATGCAATGAAGTACAAGCTCTGTACATAAATCACGTGGGCTTGATGACACCTTTCTCAGAAAGGTGTCCCAGATTCTACTTGGAAATTCTCTTCAAAAACTAGAGAGAGAGACCCCAGAGAACCTAATAAAGATGTGAAAGATTCTGTTTTGTCAGTACCTCTCCTTGCTTTAATATGTAATTCATCTCTGTTATGATTCAAGGACATTCTTTTGTACAGTCTGAATTACACAAAGCAAAAATCGCATCAAGAGCATTAGAATAGCCATGGATCACTTAATACTCTGTTACAAACAATAGCTAATCACAGAAGGAAAACACTGTACAAAACAGATAACAATTTATTCTTTCCCCCGTGTCTCAGCTTCTGACAGTTGTTGAGGTTTCTCAAGCTGTCATCTTTTTTAATAGCCACCAGTGTATCTACTCTTAATTAGCTTTTCTTCATTCCTCTGATAAACCATGTTGTCCTTTGTATCCTTCCTAGTTCTACCATATACTTTCAGAGGTGTCAAAAT